GGATTTCAACTATAACGTAGTAAGTTATTGTTTAGAGTTTAGTTAACGTTAGAGAGAAGAATATATAAGACTTTCTCTGAGAATGAAATATCATAAACTCATTCTCAAAGGAATTCTAGAGAGGGGTTTTAGAGAGAAGGACTTTGGATCCGTGAGCTCCTTTGTCTCCCAAATTTCTCTGTTTGATTCTTCTTCTTTTTTAGATTACTAATCTCTTCTGTCTCTTCTTTGAATTCAGGCTAGAAAAGCGTGATTTTAGTGGATTGAAGTCTACGGGTTAACCATTCAAAAATTCTTCTCCTTCTTCCTCTTCTTAGCTATTCTAAGCAAAATTCAGGTAAGGGAAGCTAGGATTTGGGATTTTGGGTTGGAAATGTGGGGCTATTGAATGAATTGAAGGTTAATGTTGGTAGATTTGTGAAATCTACACAGTGTGGAGAGGATTCAAAGGGGTTTTGTGTGGAAATGGGGGTTTTGTTTGTTCTTGAGGCAAAGTTGAAATTTGATGATCTTCTTGAATCATTGTGGATGCATGTCGTTCTTCTTTGATTTTCTGAGTTATATGATGTTGATATTTGAAGTATTTGGGGTTACATGTCTTGATAATTGCATGGATTGAGAGGATTGGGCGATTTGAGTTGTTCATATGCTGGCATGAATTTTCTGGGTGTGGGACGCTAAGCGTGGGATTATGGGGCTTAGCGTGAAAATTTTGAATGCTGCTAGAACTCTGAGGCTAAGCGTGGGATTTGAGGCTTAGTGTGAGAATGATATGTGCCTCTGGAAGGCTGACGCTAAGCATGGAATCCTGGGCTTAGAGTGAGAGCTGAGTTGTGCCTCTAGAAGGCTGAGGCTGAGCATGAGTTCTAGGCTAAGCATGGGGACTCAGTTTAATAAAATTCTTTTCTAATTAAGTTGGTTGCATACATGATGGATGAGTAGTATGATGGAAGCTTGTTGCTTGAGTTGTATTATGGTCAAATGATGTTAAATAAGTTGTAGAGATATGGCATGATGGGGAACAGTATGTGTTGAACATATTACTTGTTGTTGGAGTTGTTTATATGTTGTGTAGTTGGTTCATATATGTATGATATATGATGAAAATTGGTGTTTGATTCATGTGTATGCTTGGTAATGGTATATATGAATGTTTAAATATGATATGACATGTGTATATGTTCATATGAGGATGATATTGATCATGATGGTGGATTGACCATGTATGATATATGATGCATTATTGCATGTGATGCCTATAGCATGTGTCTAGCCTAGGACTTGAGGAGAGGGAAACTGTTTTTGAACTGGAAGAGCTCACATAGAGTTTCTTGAGAGTGGTGCTTGGATAGGTCACTAACATAAATAAGAGTGGTGCTTAGATAGGCCACTGCTTTTGGGTGAGAGTGGTGCTTGGATAGGCCACTGGTTTGGGTGAGTCTTCTCTAAGTCCTTAGCTAGTGTTGGAGCGGGGTATGAGGTCGAGGGTTATTCCCTTAACCAAGTATTAGGGAAGGTGCGTGGTTTCTTGTGGATAGTCGGTGAGCGAACTCCACAAGTGACTTAGTAATGCATGCCAAGGTCGTGGTAAGCCTGTACCCAATTGTGCTATACCGGACTTCCAAGTGTGTAAATAACATCAGGCGAGTAAACCCGAGTGGGGATCTATATCCCGGTTAGCTGTGACCGAGCGGGCGTATTGGGCGTGAAAACGGTTGGGGTGGTTTCGGTAGAATTGAAATGTCACTTATACTACTCTGTTGTTAAGGAGATCTCCTAGGTAAATGCATGACGATGCACTAGATGATTGATATGCATTGATATCTGTCATGAGTTGCATTTATTGCATGATTGCTTTTATGATGAAGTGTATGGTGTTTGACTTCATGATTGATAGGTTGATGATTGATTGAGATGGAACTCTCTTGGGACATGATTGGATAATTGTGTAGTATAGATTATTATTCTATACTTGTATGGGTATTTATTGAACTCTAGCTTACCCTTCTATTTCCATGTAAATGGACTGCGATGATCATACTGTGAATGGAAGCAGGTCAAGGTTAAGTTGGAGCTGGTTGCTGTGACCGTTGCGAGACTTGGAGTTTTGTCCTCGTGTTAGAGTTACCATTTTGAGTAACTGTTTTGTCTATACTTGACCGATACTAGGACAGTATTATTTTGGATGACTGTATATATATAGTACTATATTTCGTATATAAATATTTGATTTCTTTCATCACTTCCTTTATGTGTATATTTTGTTATCCAGATTAATATTTTGTCTTAGATGATTAATATTGTAGCACGATTCTTCTAAGTGTAAGAATCGTGGCAGGTCGTTACATCAACTCTCTACTACTAAGTTGACTCTAATAATTTTTATTTAATTATGTTCTTTTGCTTCCAAATTTATGGTATATTTTTCGTTTTCTAAATTTAAAATTTGTGATTTTAGTCCATATAATTTAAAAAATATTTTTTTGTTTCTCAAATTTAAAATTTATCTTTTTAGCCATGTGATTTTAAATAATATTGTTTTAAATTCTCACAGACACTAATTACATAATTGAAAATAATAAATTGAAACAATTATATAATATTAGTTAGTTTAACATATTATTTTCACTGATAAAGATATTAATAGAAGAGTTTTATGTGACAAATTCAATAACAGCTAGGTAAATTTTATTTGACAAATTTCGGCCTCATTTGAAAGAACTTATGAACAACTTATTTGTATTTTATCTTATTCTATAAATGTTTATAAATGTTTTTTTGACAAACTTATAAAATATCTTATAGATATACCATAAGATGTTTTGAACTTATTTTAATAATGTAACTTATTACTACTTCTGATCCTAATTATAAACAATGTATGACAAATTATCAAGACTAAGAAAAGTAATTAAGTTGGTTGTTTTTAACTAATCCTACTATAAATTCAAATTTCATTTCAAAGATACAATTTGTTTTAAGTAATTGTTATATTTAATGTTAGCTATAAATAAATGCATAGAAAATAGAGTTAACAATAAGAGTATAAAAAAAATTTACCTTGCATAACTTTAAAATCTAATGATTGTTACTTATAATTAAGATCAAAGAAAAATTCAATTTAATGCTTATATATTGAGCGAGATATAATATTTAACTTATATAAGAATTTATTGAGAAATTCGTGCTCAAATCTTGTCATCAATGTAAAAATAATTTTTATTTTTATTTTTTCATTCTTTCATTAAAAATCAATTATATATTTTTTGTTTTTATTTCTCTAAAAGTTATTGTTCCTCTCTATTTTTTTTTTATCTTCCCTTCCAAAGTTTTTTCAATTCTTCCTTCCAAAATTCACATTTTCTTATAATAAAAAACTCTCGTAATTTTTTCTTTTCTTTCTAAAATGGCATATATGCTTTATTGAAAAACTGTCAAATATATGCAACATTTTTTTTCCATTGTGGATTTTGGTTATTATTTTACGGCTTATTATTCTTACTCATCACATAATTTTTATCATCGAAATTAAAATTCAAATACTCAAGTCCCATATTTTATTATTAATTTTATTTTTTAATAAACTAAAATAAGTAAATAGTGACTGATAATTTTTATTTATTTTAATATTATTAAATATATAATGTCATTTTTAAAAATGATTTAATTACTTTTAAATATTTATTTTATTTTCAGTCAAGATTTAATTTGTAATTTGTAATTTTTAAAATGAGACAATATCTTATAATTAAGTTCTTAAATAAAAATATATTTAAATACTTTAAAATTATATAAGTATTTGTTAATATGTATATCTAAATATAATAACTTATTGAATTTTAAACATTTATAACATAAATTCTTAATATATGAGAACTTATTAAATAAGATCTTAATTAAGTTATTTATCAAAACAAATTCTTATTAACTACATTTGAGTAGAGAAATTAAAATAATAATTTTTAATATTTTAAAGACTAAAAATACATTTTAAATTTGAGAGGCAAAAAAAAAATCTTAAATTTGAGGGATGAAAAATATTTTTAAACCTCTATTATATTTAAGATAAATGCACAAAATGTTTTAAAATATAGATAAAACCAAGGATACATTGAAAAGATAATAAATCATCTTGAACTTTTAATGAAGTATATAAATAAGACAAGGGTACGTTGTGCAGTAAAGTTTCAAAAGGAAAAGAAAGAAGGGACAACTATTTTTACTTTTAAATCACGAAATTATACGATATTTATAAAAAAAAATGAGATTAGAATATTTAACTTATGTTAATCTCTCATTTTTTTTAATAAAAAAATTGCCCATTCGTATCCCTTTTATTCCGCAAACGAGCTCCCACAGAAGCCACACACCCAGACTATGAATATTTTAAGTTGAAAGGAATTAAACGAGAAGGGAAGAATGTAATAAAATTGGATAATTTTGGAAGAGTAAAAATACAAAACTTCAACGTAACCTTCACACATTCTACATAAATATATACAAACATTTCAAAATGTGGGGTCAAATGAAGTAAATAAGAACTTTAAAAAGAAGTAAAAACTCATCAAACTGATCCTTTTGGAATAACATAAGTACGTAACATCAAATAGTAACTAACTAAATTGACGTAACAGATAAATATTGAATGGAAAATTTTGATGCATTTATTATTAGGAGATCAAAGTACAGAAGCTTGTATCTTTTGACGACCACTGACCAAAGTGATCGCCAGTGTCCACGTCCATTTCCTAGTGTCTTTCCTAATAGTGGGAATGAGTTTCCATCCTATTCCTTTGCTTCCTCTCTTCTATCCCCACCCAAACATATCCTATATTATGGAGGCAGAAGAAGCTTATCAAAAGTAAGTTGGAACCTGGACCATAGTTGTACTTTCATAGTCTTTTCTGAAATATGATATTGAGCTGTGTTCATGTTTTATCCCAAAAGAGTATATATAACGGTAAATGAAAAGGAAATAATTATGGTGGACATAGGAGAAATGTGCATAATGTTATGGTCATAACTCATAAGTAAATATGTACACGGCAGTATGTAATCTGTAATTACAAACATAGTAGTCAACCTCCAAGATCAATTGTTTTGATAGATACCCTTTAATTAATTACTTGTCAGGTGTGGCTACACAACTGCTATAATAAAAATGCTGTGCTTCATATATATTATATCCACCAGATGAGCCAAGTCCTTGCTTGTTATGTCAAATAATTCATTTCATCACTTATCTGTAGAAACTGCAAGAGCATAAACTTTTAACAGAAGGGGTGTAAGAATTTAATTACAGAATGAGACGAGGTTTGTCCATCTTTCCTGTTGATCTATTTATCAAGGATGTCTTTATTTGTAAGAAAGATGGTTTCAAAAGAGGTACTGGATCCCGCATATTTTGCAAGAACTAGAATCGAGAATGAATAGGTTTATGTACTCTTCCAAATCGTGTCTGTTTAGATGTATCTTTGTCTTTATCAGTATGAATTTTGATGAATTCCAAAACCAAGCTGGTCAACACATCTTGATGAGAAGAATATTCATGATCAGCTCCTTCTATGATGCACAGTTCATGATTAGATAGAAATTTAGCAAACTCTGAAGCATCTTCTGCAGGGACAGTTTCATCCATGGATCCATGAATTGTCAACACTCTGTATCATCAATATTGATGAAGTGACTACAATGGTATAAATTAAACATGAAGCAACTGATTTTGCAACATTTTCAATGATGCATGTTATTAGATGTAGTAACGAACCCTACCTGCAATCTTGGGGAATCAATAGGCAGGCAAGATGGGTTATGGTAGATAGGCGGTCCATCAAACTTTCTTCGGTAACACGATACACGATCTTCCCTATCATAAGAAAAGGAATATGTGAATCAGACTGGTTGAAGTAAATTGACAACAATTAAATTAGTGTGTTGTCAAAGAGTAGCCACTACGATGCAACATCAAGTGGAAACTAGAAAGGTAGATAACCATGGAACCAAATGCAACACAATGAAGAGAAGTGATTCAACGCTAAGGCTAGAGATTATTAGAACCACAAGAGCAGTCACATTTAATAAGTAAACTCAAAAGTGTTTATGGAAACAAAAGAACAGAAGCAGGAAAAAAAAAAATTTGACCAAAGACATGATTAAAAACCACAAATGATAGACAAATAGAACTAGAAGATTATTCACATTTTGTCGCTCACCTCTTTTATTTTTAACATCTATATATCCATCTTGTTTGATCCTCTGTATAAAATTTTCGCCCAAACGACTTTCCATGCCTCTTGCTAGATTGAATCGACCAGATATATTGACAACAATATGAATATCCTTATATTTTGAGGCATATAAGAGCACCACATTACCCCCTGCAGAAACCATTTCAGTGACTTATAAGAGGGATTAGGGTTGTGAAAGACTTGTATAGAGAAAAATCCTATTACATTAACAGAGAACTTAAAATTCAGTTTACCATCACATCAAACCCTAAGGAAGATTACGTTCTCCACCAAAACTGTACAAATAGATCTTCAGTTTAACCAATGTGAGCTAGGTCCATTTTTTATAAATGTTTTCTAATCTTTATCAAGCATTTTCACCCCTAAATTATAAATCCCCAAACCATCTCGAGGGCAATTTTCCTTCATCTTACAAATAGATAAAAGCTACACCTAACCCATCTTTGATAAATATATTCCTTCTATAACTTGTAACATTAAAGACTCAACACACAATATATATCTACAGTGTTTATGCTTAAAAGAAGACCATGTTAACACCTGATCAATGTCATCATACTTTCTCAACAGAAATGAAAAACCAAATAAAGATTTAAATCTTTCTCTCTGCGTTTTCCACTGATCTTCTCACCAAACAGTTTCAAAAAATTACCTTGAGAAGATTAGACTATCTAAGACCTACATTCTTGCCTCTATTATTCACCTACGTACTAAAAATAAAATATATTTGACAACAATAATAACTAATTACCTAGTAAACAAAATTAAAAATTATCAAATCAAATATGTTACATTGGGCAGGAGAGACAACATTTTCTCACTACCACCGAAGTATTCCATATCCGTTGTCTGTTCAGTCCACAATTAACTTCAGTTTCATACAATAAGGATACTTGTAATCTGACCTTTACTATGACCAACAATTGCTGTAATTATGTATTTCTGCTCACGGAAGTGTTGAACTACAGCTCGCAGGTCTTCAACTTCTCTGTAGTAGTTACCATACTGAAATGAACCTTCACTTTCCCTAGAAGACAATCATATGAGTTGCTAGCAATATAACGACAATTCAATAAATTGTTTTTCTCTAGTATTAGAACAGGTACACCCTTAGTTTACATCCCAGGTAGAATCACTTTTACATTCATGTTCGTAATAGACTGGTCCCTTTAACTTGAATGTAGCTTCATAATTTTCAGTCTCAGTTTATTTTAAAAAAATTAAAGTCACGAATAGAAGACAGTATATTGTTCATGGGTAATAGGACACTAAAAGAAAATATTATGGAAAAGGGCAATTTATGCTACCATGTTGTGCATTTGACTGTAGCAAAACACCTGTATTTTTATTCTTTAAGGAGGTAGCTTTGACACAACAACAGATTTGGGATAAAGATTAGGCATTTAGATGCTATTTGGATAGCATGTGATCTGTTTAAGAGAGTTCCCTAACATATTGTTTGGTTAGAGTTAATGGAGGGTAGAGGACGTGAGAGAAAATTAGAAGACCAAAACTCCTCCCTTCCTCTAAATCAAGCAGCACGTACTAACTGAAGGGTTGGGCTGCTCTGCTCCGTTGAAGATTTCCTTTTGTCTCTGTTGTTAGTGTTTGCTATAGATGTTATATAACTAATAACAGCCATTCATGAACCTTTACCAAACTGCAGTTGCTCTTAGGGGAGTTGTTCTATGACATTATTTTGCATTGTAGTTAAAGAGGATCCCTTATCATTGTACTCTTTGTATTTATTGAATTTCTTCTTTTATTAAATATTCTTAACACCATGCAGATCAAAAACCAAATAATTAATTAGACAAGACAAATCATATACACAAACAAATCAAACTAATCATATACCCATTTCCCGCAAAGTCAAATCGGAAGGCACTCATTCCATCCTTTTCCAGAGCAGCAGCAACGTTCACCATGGGAATCCTTTCCTACAGACAAAACAATTCGACCCTTTAGTTCAAAGCTAAATGAAGAAAAATTAAGTGCACAATTTATTCTTCTTATAGGGAAATTATTGGCATAAAATTGTGAAGTGCAACAACCTTGGAAGATTGGAAGCCATGGCACACGATAACAAGCGAAGTGGAAGCCCCATTATGTAAGATCCCCACGAGATTTTCTCCATGGGTGTTTCGTATCGTAACTCTAGTTTGGGCACCACAATCGGCCATGGTAATTAGAATATTAGATTATATATACTGTCACAAATCAAGGATCAGGATCGTAACGTCTCGTGTGATGATTTTCGATTCCGCGAGATGCACAGAGAATAGCATAGGTTCAACCATAAAAGAGAATTGAACATTTAGTTTTAATACATGAGAAAAATACTACGAAAACAGTCAAAACACGGAGTAAAAAGCCTTTTTTTTTTTTTTCACAAAAAATGTAGAATTACCTCGAACTGCAAGTTTCATCCAATTGCAATTTCCTTGATACCATGAGAGAAAAGTAACACAGATCCAAAGTGCCACTCATGAAAAAAGTGAAAGATGATGGGAGATTTTAACCACGCATACCCACTCGCTTTAAAAATAACAATCTTGATATTATCATCCAAACCTTAATCACTCAACGATCTGTGTGGAATTTCTAACAAATTGAATTTAAAATTTTTAATATCTAAATTAAGGTTTTAAGTTTTTAAAATTTTAAAAATTATTTAATATTTTATTTTATTAATTTAAATCAATATATAATTATAAAAATTTAGAGATTTTGTATATTAATAACCTTAAATTTAATGATTAAATTATTAAAATTTAATATAAAATATAAATTATTAAATAAAGTAAGTCTAAATAAATATGTATATATATATATATATATATATAAATTAATTATTTTTACGATAATTATTTTTAAGAAGTATTTAGTACTCGTAAAGTATTTTGTTTCCTAATAATATAATATGAAATTGAAAATGTTAATTCCTTATAATAAATTTATTATTTTGAAAATAAAATTTTCAAGAAATATAGTTCATTGGAACTTTTATTACATAGATTTTTCATAAAACTATTTTTTTTATAAAAATGTGCCAATCTAATTTTTTTGAATTAAAAATAAAAAAATTGACTATAATAAAAATGTTATATTATTTTTATTTGTTAATATAAAATGATAAAAAAATTACTCCTAATTAACATATATTAATATTTTCTAAAAATATTTATTACTTTAAAAAAAATATATAATTATAACCGGGCAAACGCATTTTAATTAAAAATCATGTTTCTATGATATTTGCAAATAATGATTAATGTGCATGAAAAGCTACAAAACTACCCATTTAAAGTCATACCAACAAGTATTTATTACCGGTTGACCATGTAAAAATTTTTAAACTAACAATACATCACTATTAAACGCTTGATATAAATTTCTTTTTCCTCCTTGTAAGACAATGCAAAAATTATCAATAAGCGTGAAAGGACTTTTGAATATTTCTTTACTAAAATATAAAAGCATTTTTAACAAAGAAATTGTTAAAAACCTTTATAAACTTGTATATAAATATACTATACATTTCGTGTACATCTAATAAAAGATATATTTGTTTGAACTATTTTATCTTGAGTTCAATGGATACAAAATAAAATTTGGATATGAACAAATAATAAATGAAATATGGGAAAAAGAACATAATATAACGTTTGATTGTTACTGGTAAATAAAAGGTTTTAAATATTTTTTTTATTATTCTCACGCGAACCATAATACATCATCAATTAAAGATTTTAGAGGAGTTTGTTCTTGAGATTATATATATACACTTCAAACATTTACTGACTTATATATCAATGTTCCTTTTCTAGTTATAATCATTAATTAGAAAATCAAAAATTGAAAAATTTTGAAAATTTTAAACAAGTACTTTTTCCAACAAATACAACAACATATAATACTTTTAAACTATTTATTAAAAATTCCTATTAATATAACTATTTAAATATTTATCATAAAAAATTAATAAATTTATTATACATAATAGTTTATTTTAGAAAAATAATATAAAACTACTTTGCATACTCTTACCATTCCCAATGAAAAGTAAGAAAACTATTATCCATTTTTTATCTTCTAAGGAGGACCCTTGTCTTCGAATTCTAGGAATCATTTCTGCTACTGTCTCTATTCCTAACATTTGATGCTTTCATTGAGCTTTCAGTGGTTGACAGCACTCGCTCCGAAACCAATATGGATTATGGACTGCATTGAAGACGCCATTGCCAAACTCACCTCCCACAAGCTTACCCAAATCCTCATGACCTCTAAAATCGATGATACTTAATAAGATTAACCTTATCTTGCTTCGAAATTCAAATTAATATTTGAATTTTAGCTTTAAGAAAGCAGATTATTTAAAGGTACTCGTAGTAGTAGCAGAGCAACCTTTTACAGATAAATTTGTTTTGTTAGCTTAACGTAATAACTACTCATTTATATGTAGAAAAATATAAAGCAAATTGACTTTACAGGGCATTTCAGAACAAGGAGAATCTGTTGGTCCCACTAATAGAAAAAAACAGAACATATAGAAAATTGAATAAAGGTAATGTGTTATAATTTATAGTCTGAAAAAGACAGTGAGAGCAGCTGATTGAGTTGGAGGCAACTGATAATTTCTTAATTTTTCGTTGTACGGTACAAACAATGAGAAAAGAAAATGTATATACTCTTATGTCAACTAGACTCCGAGGTGCATGGATTAAGTTCCACCAAGTGAAAAACCTGAAAAAAATACTATAGGCACATTTCAATCTGGCCGTACTAAGTCACTTTTGCTGCATGTCTCTATGTTCTCTACGTTAAGATCCCACTGGAGCACTTTTAGCCTTGGCAGCAGCAGCAGAGGCTGTAGCCACTGCTGTGGCGGCAGCGGCGGCAGCTGCAGCAGATGCTGCTGGGTGGCTTGATGATGAAGGCACTTTGTTGGATCTACTCTGAGCTTCAACTGTTTGTGGCTGATGTTGCTGCTGCATCTGTAATCTAACTTGTGCAAGCAATGCCTTTATCTGAGTTCCTGTGAGGGTCTCATGCTCCAGAAGAGCATTGGCAAGTGCATGAAGCTCCTCGTTGTGAGTGGTTAGAATAGTTTTTGCATTGTTGTAAGCCCTCTCCAGGAATTCCTTCACCTCTTTCTCAATAATAAGCCTAGTCTCCGAGCTCATGCTCCTCCCATCATCATTGTAATTATGTGTGACTAGTCCTACTTCATTGCCCATACCATATTTGGTAACCATCACCCTTGCCAACCTAGTTGCTTGCATGAGATCTGAGGATGGACCAGAAGTGACTTCATTTTCTCCAAAAATCAGCTCTTCAGCAACCCAGCCTCCCATGCAAACATCAAGCCGGGCAAGCATCTGTTTCCGGGAAATGCTGGTCTCATCCTCTTCGGGCAATTGAGTAACCATGCCGAGAGCCATCCCTCGGGGTACTATAGTTGCCTTGTGAACAGGAAGGGCCCCATCAGTATGAATGGCCACAAGAGCATGACCACCCTCATGGAAAGCAGTCAACTTTCGTGAATCCTCGGATATGACAGCTGATTTGAGTTCACTTCCCATGATGATCTTGTCTTTTGCATGCTCTAGATCAGCCATGCTCACAGCTTTAGCACCATCCATTGCAGCCTTGATAGCAGCAATGTTAATCAAGTTTGCAAGCTCAGCACCAGAGAATCCAGATGTTCCTCGAGCAATGATCATTAGATCAACATCATCAGCCTTCAGAACCTGTATTTGATTCAAGACAAAAATCCAGCATAACAAGTAGGTAACACTGCTCCCACAATGTTATAATAAGATGATGGTTATATATGTAATGGATAAAAAAAATACCATCTTAAGTAAACTTCAAAATAAATGAGTGTGAGCTCATACATAAAAGTATCCCATGGATAGCCGATCATAGCCCAAAGAAAAAACCATAAAACAGCAATATTTTGCACCAATAAATGAGAGCACTAACAACGTCTCTTTGAAACAAGGAATCATATCCATCCAATCCGATTTATCAAATAAGATACATTCTGATAGGGGATGGAACCACCCAAAGAGACCAATTATTTGAAAAGCCTCTTCCAGAAAATATAGGACTTAATTTTAATAAATACTGCAGTTTTAATAATTGCCATGTTAGGACTTAGTTTTAATAATATCTGCAGTTTTGATAACTTCCATTTGACAGTTTCTGTAGGGAATTCGCTTGTATTTGTGTGTTGGGGGTGTTTAAGGGACAGTTATGTGTTTGGTAATTTTATGGACCTAGATTACCTCTCTAGCAGTTTCTGAGCTCTGGGACAGCAAGAAATTGCTGTTATTTCCGAAATGTGTGATTTAATCATATTTTTATTCTTGTTTGAGTTTGAGATAAGAAAATTAATGGGCAAGTGTGAAAAAGATGAGCAAGGCAGTTCATCACATAGAGAAGGGAAAGGATGATATTCAAGAAGCCATCACATGGATGAGTATCAATTGGCAGTTAAGAAGGTGGAACTGCCATCCTTCAATGGAGATGACCCTATTGGGTGGATTACTAATGCAGGAACTTATTTTTAAGGTCAAAATACTAGTGAAGACTAAATTAGCCAAGTATGGAGGGTTCTTGAAATTTAGACTTAAAAGCATAACTTAATCACCACAAAATTGACTTATAAAGTGAAAATTGCACAAGTTCTACTATATTGGGCATATTCTAGTCAAAGTGGGATCTCAATCCCTCAAGAGCCAACATTCTCCTAATTTGCACTCTGGTGCTTCACTCAACCTTTTTGGTCAACCAATCCATAGGTAGCCCTTCTTGACACACCGACAATCCACCCTAATAAGCCACAATTAAGGTGGCCTATAGGGTGATCACAATTATTCCAACACACCCCTCACACTCAAGTCTATAGGCCTAGATTGTGGCAAAGGAAGTGGCCCAACAAGGAATATAGGATAGGCATTGATTCCATCTTAGAATTTGGGCTTAAGGTGTAACTTAATCTCACGAAACTGAGAAGGTGACGACTACCTGAGCTTTATAAAGACTACATTGGTTATATCTCTAGTAAATGTGAGATATCAATCCCTCAAGAACCAATACCCTCGTGGCTACACTTTGTGATGCCTTGCTCAATCATTTTAGTCAATGCCTCTATAGGTGACTTTTTTGAGATGCTAATAATAACTTTGAAGGCTGCAATTAAGGCAAGACAGGGGTGGCTGCAATTAAGTCAACTTTCCAACATTGTTTTGTGTGGAAAACAATTTCGTCCCTAGCACCAATGTTTTGAAAAAAAAAATTGAGGTTGATGATATTGGATGATAACCCATAATGAGTAAGAAGGTAATTTCTTTGGAAGTTCATGAGCAGAACAAAGATATGTGAGTGTCAAGCATTGGGGCTATTTGGAGCCAACCATGAAGTAATGACTGAATGTAAACTATGAGAATGGAAGGAGAACTAAATAAAGTGCCCAAGGTTGTGTTGATTAAAAGTGATGCTAGCCACAACTTCTCACTACCACTGTCACTTCTACTTTGGGACTTAAGGTAGATCAAATAAATAAGTTTGGGATGAGACTAGGAGATAGCCATAGTTTAGGTAGGTAAAAGGGAAGTGTGTGGTTTATTGATGAAATTCGATGGTATGGATGTTTTAATGATGCCTACAGGCTGGATTTGGGAGTAGATGTGATTTCAGGAGTTGCATGACTTGAGACATTGGGAAAGGTGTTAGTTGATTGGGAACATATGTCCATGATATTTCACTATGGTACTCGAGTAATTCATCAACAAGGGCAAGTGGCATAGAAGAAACAGTTTGGAAAATGAAGAATTTTGAGGCAGAGACCTGTTGGTTTTAACAAGCACTGTGGGGAGTCCCACAGGGAAGATTGGAGAATTTCTATGGCCAAATGAAGTACACTCAAATGCTGCATAAATCAGTCACTTAATTGCAAGTCAAAACTGCAAGTTGTCTAAATTATTAGAGCATTTTCCAGAGTTCTCAATTTGTTAGAAGGCTGCCACCACACAGGAACTTACTGCACTTTCATGTGGACTTATAAGGCCTTGTACTCTCCAACAACAGTGGTTAGATTTTGTGGTGTTATTCTCCCAAGGTTCTTATCAATATCTTTATATGGATTTTATCATTCAACTTCTTAAATCTAAGGGTTATGATACGGTGCAGGTAGTAGCTGATCAACTTTCTAAATATGGTCAATGCATTCAATCATTCCCTTAAAACATCCATATACTGCACAAAGTGTGGCTGTCATATTTGTTAAACTAAAAGTGATTCAGTTGCACATAGTTCCATAATCTATTTGGAGTAGCAAGGCTATGCACGGACAGGCATGTCTGGTGGTATGTGTGGAGAATAATGTGTGTAGGAAAAGGAGGGAGGAGTTTATGGACAGAGATAGCCTCTGTATGAGTTTATTAACACTGGGACAGAAAGAAATTGCTGTAACTTGTGTAATCCGGTGTGATTTAATCCTGTTTCCCTTCCAAATCAATGTTTTATAACAACATTCTTAGCAAGGGATAAAACTATACCTTTGACATGTGTGATTCCAAAATCTGCTGCCTTCCTTTTACATCTGGATTGGGAACATCAACATGGCGATCAAACCGCCCAGGTCTCACCAATGCCTTATCCAATGATTCTGGAAAATTTGTAGCGCCAATCACAATTATGCCCTCATTTTGCTTGAATCCGTCTAGCTCAACCAGTAACTGATTTAATGTCTCCCTCATGTACATTTGGTCCTTTGGATTCCGGCTTCCTCCAATAGCATCAATCTCATCAATGAATATTATAGAAGGTGATTGCTTCCTTGCAGCAGCAAAAAGATGCCTCACCCTTCTTGCACCAACACCAACATACCTATCATCAAATTCACTTCCACTGCACGGGAAGAACGGAACCCCAGCCTCTCCAGCAATAGCTCTTGCCAACATTGTTTTTCCAGTGCCAGGTGGACCAACAAGCAAAACTCCTTTTGGAAGCTTACCACCAAGACGAGTAAAGCGCTGGCACAAGAAAAACAAGTCAGTTACAAAGATGATAAGGAAAAGTACAGGCCAGTATGTGGTCAAGAAAGAAGTATATAACGTGTAACAAAAAAGTATGAAAAGGGATGTGTCATCAAGAGGAATTAATCATAATTTAGGTACTGACTACTTAAATAGCCCATTTAAGCAATTATCTTGGAAATGCCACCCAATTTTAGATTCTCAAATGAAATCGTCAGTTCATCACACCACCAATGGAAGTAGTAACTAGTAAGCACGGTTTTATTGACGTTGGGTGGGTATCATCATCCTGGAGTGAAAACCCAAATCGAGTTACCTAGTTTGCTCCAGCACAACCTGTGCTATGGATATTGATGTTTTGTAGCCATATTGAAAGCTATGGAACGACGAGAACCTACTGAATAGTGACACAGCACAGGTGGATATAATAAAAACAACATATTAGATGTTTGTATTACAGCGAAGTTATTTGAGTTTTAAACATTGTTATCCAAAGAAAAAAATCCGATTTATTCACAAGTTTGTCTAAATTTTTACTCGAAATGAATAGCATGTCACTAGACAATGACATATCAAGAATTTCCATCTGCATCTCCAAGTCCACACACACTAGCAGTTACATTACTTTAAGTGGCATCAAATCAACAATCACATGAAGTAATAACAAGACCATGAAAAATAGGTTTAAGCGTTCAAGCTGAGTGCACGATGCTAGAAATGTATGTGTTGAAAACAGAACATGAAAAACTAGGGTGTATGACTAAAAAAAAAATCATGTTGAGATTATAATATGCAACTTCCCACACATAAAAGGGGACAAAAATTGATATGATATATTTAAATTATGAATTCAACTTTGCACATATTGAAAGTGTTACGGTAAACACGCTTAAATACTAAAACTAATTAACTCCTAATCGAATAAAACAAACAATAAATTATGACTAAACTAACAAGCAAATATCATTTGCTTGCATAACTTACTTTTAATGAACATAAGTAACCTATAACCAAATTTACAAGTAAAATAGAAAACTACATAGTCTTTAAAATATTTAATTATGACATTGGAAAAATTTCAACCGTCAACATGTTTTTTGAAATTTTTTTTCATTACCTCAAGTTTTTATCTCTATCATTCTTTACACTTTTTTGTGGGATCACTTTCAAGTAGGCGAGTATTAGCAAAACTTGAAAAAGGAGAATAATTTTATTATTATTATTCATACTTATTACATTTTCCTTATACCTATTTGTAACAATCTAATCTTCTAAAATAAGGAAATAAGGAAAAATATTCTGAAAAATATCCTAGAAGATTCTATAGATATTTTCTCTAATTAGGAAGATTTTTTCTCTAATTACAACACTCCCCCTCAAGTTGGTAAATGAATATCAATCATTCCCAACTTGCCTACAAGATCTTGAAATCTACCCTGAGGGAGCCCTTTTGTAAAATATCTGCTATCTGAAGTTCTGTAGGAACATGAGTTGTAATCACAAAGCCTCTGTCTAGATTATCTTTGATGAAATGTCTGTCAATCTCAATGTGTTTGGTCCTATCATGTTGTACTGGATTATGGGCAATGCTCATGGCAGACTTATAGTTGCACGGGGTTGTCCACCTTGACTTTAAGGTCATCCAAAATGATTTTCATCCAGAGTCCTTCACACATTCCTTGAGCAAGGGCTCGGAACTCAGCTTCTGCACTAGAACGAGATACTCTATCTTGCTTTTTGCTCCTCCATGTTACGAGACTATCTCCAAGAAACATACAATACCCAAAAGTAGATTTTCTGTCAGTAATAGAACCTGCATAGTCAGCATCAGTATATATTTTCATAGTCAATGTATCTTCCCTTTTGAACAATAACCCCTTTCCTGGACTTGACTTCAAGTACTAGAGAATTTTGTCAACTGCTTGCATGTGTCTCTCTCTTGGATCATGCATAAATTGGCTCACTACACTAACTGCATAAGCAATGTCTGGTCTTGTGTGTGATAGATAAATCAATTTCCCTACCAATCTCTGATATTGGGCCTTCTCTACAGGAGCACTTTCTTCACTTCCAATTCTGTGATTTTGTTCTATAGGAACTGTTGAGGTTCTACATCCCAGCTTCCCTGTTTCTTTGAGGAGATCAAGTACATATTTCCTTTGGGAGATGAAAATTCCATTTTTGGAATAAGCAACCTCTATTCCAAGAAAATACTTGAGTTTTCCTAGGTCTTTCATTTCAAATTGGGCTGCCAATTTTTCTTTTAATGCCAATTTTTCTGTTTCATCATCTCCTGCAATAATCATATCATCCACATAGACAAGCAATAGAGTGAGTTTACCTGTAGAAGAGTGTTTTATGAATAGAGTATGATCTCCTTGGCTTTGTCTGTATCCCAAGGAAACCATTACTTTTGTAAATCTTCCAAACCATGCTCTAGGGGATTGCTTAAGACCATACAATGCTTTCTTTAGGAGGCATACCTTGTTTCTTTCATTTTTCACTTCAAAACCTGGGGGAATCTCCATGTACACTTCCTCTTCTAGATTTCCATGAAGAAAGGCATTCTTCACATCCAACTGGTGTAAGTCCCAACCAAAATGAGCAGCCAAAGCGAGAACAACTCGAACTGTATTCATCTTTGCCACTGGGGCAAACGTCTCCTCATAGTCAATCCCATAAGTTTGGGTATAGCCTTTTGCCACCAATCTAGCTTTATATCTTTCTATTGTCCCATCTGCCTTATGTTTCACTGTGAATATCCATCTACACCCTACTGCCTTCTTGTCTCTTGGCTTATCAACAATCTCCCAAGTTGAATTTCTTTCTAATGCATTCATCTCTTCTTTCATGGCTTGAGTCCAATGTTCAAGTTTCATGGCCTCCTGGATTGAGGTAGGAATTTCTGTGGCATCAATGGCAGCAATAAAGCTTCTGTGCTTATCAGAGAGATTGTTAGTGCAAACATACTGAGAAATAGGATATTTAGCACATGATCTTCTTTCCTTTCTCAATGCAATGGGTAAGTCCTCAGTAATACTTACCTCCTCACTGTTATCTTCAGGGATCCTCACCTCCGGATTAGACAATTTTTCTTGCTCGAGAGTCGAAGTGGGTTGTTTTCTTCTTTCATATTTTTTGCCAAAAAATTTGTCTTCCTCTTCTTCCGCTTCTTCCTCATTGTGGACCATGGTAGCTTCATTGCTTAGATCTTGGGCATCCTGCAAAGACAAATATGGTAATGACAAGAAGGAGAGCTCCTCCACTTCAAGTGCTTTCTCCCCCTGAAGTGGTGGACTGGCATAAAAGGATTGTGTTTCCTGAAAGGTGACATCCATGGTGATAAAGACGCGACGACTCTGAGGATGATAACATTTGTACCCTTTTTTATTAGAAGGATACCCAATAAAGACACATTTAAGAGCTTTGGGATCTAATTTACTACGATTAGGATGATGAGAGTGAACAAAAACAGTACATCCAAAGACTCGACTAGGTAGACTCGATATTAGAGGGCAAGAGGGAACAAAAGACAATAGAGACTCTATAGGACTAATGCCATTTAAGATACGGGTGGGTAACCTGTTGATGAGATATGTGGCAGTTAACACAGCTTCTCCCCAGTAATTTTTTGGAACAGACATTTGAAAAAGAAGAGCTCTAGTTACTTCTAGAAGATGACGATTCTTTCTTTCTGCAACCCCGTTTTGTTGAGGGGTGTTTACACATGTTAGTTCATGAACAATACCATTATGAGACAAAAAATTAAGAAATTCATGATTCACATATTCAGTACCATTATCAGACCTGATTCTTTTGATATTTTTTCCAAATTGATTTTGGACCAGACGGAAAAAATTAACAAAGATTTGGAAAACTTCTGATTTATTTTTCATAAGGTATGTCCATGTGACACGGGTACAATCGTCAATAAAGGTAACAAACCATCTAGCTCCGGAAATAGATTCTACGACAGGTCCCCAAACATCAGAGTGAATTAAATCAAATGGAGAAGTACTCTTTTTATTACTAATAGGATAGGATGCACGATGGTGTTTTGACAATTGACAAATATCACAATTAAAAGACTCAATAGACTCCTTAGTAAACAAATGAGGAAATAAGGATTTAAGAAGGTTGAATGAAGGATGCCCAAGCCTTTTATGATGTAGCCATATTTGGGAATTTGCCCACGTTTCAGATGTAGCTTGTTGACTCATGATTTTTGTTTTGTTTTGGTCATCAGATTCCAACAAATACAACCCACTTTGCTCTTTAGCAGTTAAAATCGTCTTTCCCGTAGCAAGGTCCTGAAAAATACAATGAGTTGAGAAAAATGTTACTGAACAATTTAAATCTTTTGTAAGCTTTTGCACAGAGATAAGATTATTGGCTAATTGTGGAACATGTAAAACATCCTTTAATACAATAGATGATTCCAAAATTAATTCCTAGAGCCGCATATGGGTACACCTTGACCATTCGCAACTGTAATAAGTTGTTCTCTATTCCTTTGAATATATGATTTGAAGATCATACGAAAAGGTATCATATGATCAGTTGCTCCTGAATCAAGAATCCAAATACCTTGAGACACAGGACCCACAGTATGGAGAGAACTTTTATCTTTCATGGACAGAGTACATGGTCCAGAGGGCTTACTTATTGATTCAATCATTCCTTTCAAACGAACTAGTTCCTCTTTAAAAGCTTTCATCTCAAAAAATCTGATGGTGGTAACTTAATGGATTGATTCTGCGACTCTGTTTGTGGCGACAACGATGAGTGGGCCGTGGAACGGACTTAGGAGGTTCCGGCAACCAGTTCTGTGATAGCAGCGACGAGTGGGTCTTGTCGGAGCTAGGCGCGTGGGACGTCACCGGAAAAAGGAACAAAACTCAAAACTCATATCTACTCAAATCTGCGCCAAATGTGACGTTACCGACCGTGGAATGGACTCAGGAGGCTCCGGCGACTCTTTCTGTGGCGATGGCGGAGAGTGGGTCTCGCCGGAGCTAGGCACGTGGGCTACACGCGCCGTCGCCGTCGCCGGCGCGTGGCGGCGTGTTTCCCGGAGCGAATTCCGGCGTTGTGTTCGCCGGAGTTGGGCGCACCTTTCTGCCCTATCAACGACCCCAACGGCTACGGTGGCAGCCGCAATGGCCGAACAGCGGCGGCAGTGGCTACTGTTTACAGCGGAAACGGAGCTCCCAAGATCGGGAGCTCTGATACCAACTTGAAAAAGGAGAATAATTTTATTATTATTATTCATACTTATTACATTTTCCTTATACCTATTTGTAACAATCTAATCTTCTAAAATAAGGAAATAAGGAAAAATATTCTGAAAAATATCCTAGAAGATTCTATAGATATTTTCTCTAATTAAGAAGATTTTTCCTCTAATTACAACAGCAAATATAAATCCCCAAGCTTAACATTGATTTTATCACTTGAAATAAGAGTCCTTACAACTTCCTTAATACATTTTTTAAAGATCTTTGTTATAAGAATTGCAACAACTATTCCAACATTATTCTCCTTTACAAAGCTCACTGTTGCATTAATAAGAAGTATAATAATCCCAACTAAATTTTTTCAATCAAAAGCTTTTTCTCCTCCTTTGACCAAAGCCATGACCATGATTGTTGTAGCTTCTATGACCCCTAAAAAAGGATTTTCCATAAATTTCAAGAGTTTTAAAACCTTATTTTCTTTCTTCTTTTCAACTTTGTTGTGCTCAAAGGTCACCTTCCCTCAAGTAGTTTTTATTATTAGCCCATCTGAATAACATTTTAAGTATAAAAGGCCTCTTCAAGTGACCCACTTTTCAAATCTTCATCTTTCTTTAAAAGAGCATGTGTGGCTTTTTTCTTTCACTTTGTTGGAAAACTTTTATCTTTCATTTTAATAGACATAAGCTTACACCCAGAAGGGTTAAAAAAGATGCATCTCATATTTTTAAATCAAAGAATAATTATTTTCAAACATTTGTCACACATTCAAAAGGTTTTGATTTATTTCAGACACAAATAAAACATCTAAAATGTATTTGATACCTAAAGGAGTTTCAATAGCAACAACTCCTTTACTTTTGACATCAACATTTTTTTCATTGCCTATGGTGACTATGGAGATTTGGGTTTGATTTTATTCCTTGAAAATTACAAACATCATGAGTCATATGATTTGTGCATCTACCATCTACTAGACTTGTTTTTCTAACCTTTTCCTTTGTGGCAAATAAATGTTTCTCATGTTACTCTTCATGTTCCACTATTTGGGCTTGATGTTCTTGTTTGTTTGATTTATTTTTACAAACCTCCACATGATCAAACTAATAGGTCCTACATTTAATGCTTGTCTTAAACTAACAAAAATTTGTTAGTATGGTTGTTCTTCTTATAGTGGCGGCACGATAGAAACTTGTTTTTCTAACCTTTTCCTTTGTTTCCTTCTTCATGTTTTTTCCTCTTGTGTATGCCACAAAAGCACCTTTAATATTTTATTTCATCCTCAATGATCTTTTTGGTTTAGTGGCTTGTAAAGCATTTACAAGTTCTATAATTGATATTTGAGAAAAAAAAATTATTTTCTTCATGAGAGGATATTTTGGATTCAAACCTCTATAGAAGACACACCAATATTTTCTCTACAACATGTTGATTACTAAGTTTTTCACCAAGTAATTTGATTTGTGTAACAACCTTTATGAGTTTGTTAGTGAAATCTTTGATAGATTAGTTTCTTTTATCTTTAACGCTTCAAACTCTCTCCTTAAGTTTAGCACATGCATTCTTTTTGTTCTTCCACTCCCCTGAAACTGCTTTTATAGCTTATGCTATGCCTCTTTTGCGGTCTCAAGAGTCAGAATCTTGATAAATACACCATCATGTAGTGCTACTTGTATAATGACAAAACCTCTTCCATCTTTAGCCACTTCATGATTGTGATTCCTCATTTGAACTAATGTTGAATTTTTTTTGGTAATGGAGGTGGATTACTTTCATTTTCCACCATAACCCACAAATTTGAGCTACGAGATAAGTCCTCATTTTTGTAGACCACAAGTGATAATTTTCACCTGCAAATATAGGATGTGGAGGTAAAGAACTATTGTGAAAAGTCATTTTTGTGTTTGAAAGTTTTTTTGTAAAGATTTTTTTTTTGTTGGTTTTTTCTTTATTTTTTCTCTCTCACATGCCCCTAAAGATCAATGAAACACTCAATATCATGTTGAAAACATAACATGAAAATTAGGGGTGTATGACTAAGAAAAAAATATAACAGGTTGAAATTATAATCTTCAACTTCACACGTACAAATAGGGGTGAAAGCTGATATGATATATTTAAATTATGAACTCAATTTTGTACATATTAAAAGTGTTACAAGTACTTAAATACTAAAACTAAATGACCCCTTATCGGATAAAACAAACAACAAATTATGATTAAGCTAATGAACAAACATCATTTGCCTGGATAATTTATTTTTTCTAAACATAAAGCAACTTATAATCAAACTTACAAATAAAACAGAAAATTGGATAGACTTTAAAATACTTAATTTTAATAGTAGAAAAATTTCAACTATCACCAACGAAATGCAATGAGGAGAGCATGAACTTATGCGAGAGATGTTTACCTTAGCATCTCGAAGGTAGTGAACAATTTCTTCCAGCTCTGCTTTTGCCTCGTCAACACCTTTTACATCATTAAATTTTGTACTTGAGTCCATGCTGGGTTGCACTTCTTCATTTATATCAAGTCCCGTGCATAATGAAAAATCAAACCAAAGAACATGTCCGCTAAATTCAGATTCAATAAAGAAAAAAAATGACTATGAACAGGCTACATTGACAAGGCAATACCTTTACTAGTTCCTTCATTACTAATTCCTTCATCTTCAGCGGCTTCAATGAGTGCTCCTAGACCCAAAATCAAGACAAAGGCCACTGCAACGGACCTTAGTGACCCTAGTGTCCGCCATAGCCGATCTTTTATATTCCCACCTTCTCTAGCCACCATATGAATTGGATTACTAGCAGTTCCAAGAGGAATGCCTTTTGCCGCTTTTCCCCCATTTCTAAAAGCAGAAAGACCAGCAGTTACAGTTTCTTCCTCACCCATTGAATTGGACATACCTGGAAATTCACATCATCTCTGGTCATAATTTATAGTCTAAAAAATATGCTAAAGAAATAAATGTCCAAATAGCTGATGCAGTAAAGATTAATATCACTTTTGAGACAAGTAATAATTCAAATGCTAATTTAGTCAGCTGAATACAGTTTCTGTCTTGCGTCATTTTGTTCATGCAGTCATAGAAAATCATTCTTGTCCTAGGACTATAAAAAAGGTCAACAGAGGCATCACATTCCTGATGCAGAATTTCATCACAGAGAAAAACAAGATTCTTTATTAATCCGATTAATTCTGCAATACATTAATTGAACTTCATAATCCCTGAAAAAGATTATTGACTAACAGTTCAACCAGACAAATGGATTATTGGCAGAAGGGAAACAGAATTACAAGACAATTTACTGTAATTTTACTTTAAGACTTATTTACTGGCTTGAGAGAAACAGATAATTACAGATTATTTAACCAGTTCCATTATTTCAATAATATATTGATAACCTACTGATTTCCCTGGCAGTTAAAGTCATCAAAGAATTCCAGATAAATGAAAGATGATATCAAAGTACACCTTTAAAAGAGCATGTGTCTGTGAGGGGGGAGGGAAGACTACACAGAAGGCATCTAGAAGAGCCATTAACATCAAATTGTAGCAGTCCGCAAATGATAAGTTCTCAACGAAATGGAAATGAAGTCATGCCTCAGGACTCTTTTCTTAGTGTACAAGCAGGAACAAGTACTTCCTTTACACAGAATAGTAAGTAACCCAGCTTTCTAATCAAAATATTAATAACACTTTGGTTATATGAAATATGAATTTAGGGAAAAAAAAGAAAAAAACTACTTGGTCATTGAATTCTGGCAGATACAATTTGGCCATCAACACACCCTTATGAAACATAATACCCCAGAAAGAAAGCAGAAGCAAGAGAACCAAATATGCTTGCTTGCTTGGCAAAAACCTTATATCATTGAACAATGAATAAGATTAACTAATCAGTAAACCAATATTGTCAAGAAATATAGGTCAAAAAGACCAAATCATAAGCATTGACAATTACGGAAATTAGCAGTTCGAGCCAAATAACCACCTCTCCTTAATGTCTTCAGTAATTCACTTTCATCAAGCCTATCAACTTTCACTAATGCTTTTACGTATTCAGAAAGAGCTGAGGCACTATTATGGAGAGATGGATGGCTTTCAAATACTCTAATCACAGCCTCGGGATCATTCTGATGGTAAAATTCTTTATATGAAACTTCAGCTGCTTCATCTGCATCAGGTGCTCGACGAGCTATACTGCCAAGATAGCTAGACTGAAATCCCTTCTGGGCACACGAAAACCTATTCCCTACAGGATTTTGAAATTGGGTGAAAAAAACAAAATCCAAGTGACAAATGGGACATAATATTCAGTAACTTTGAATTTGAACATATATTGAAAGGAAAAAACATGAATAACTTCAAATATACACCGACCCACCTTCACAGCCTGCATTAAAAGTTTGGAGGTGCCAAATTATTATTTTTATATATAAAATTTTAAATTAATTTTTTTATTAAATAAAAAATAGAATTTTTCTTTTTTTACTTAATTTTTTAATTTTATTATAACTAATTATATGATAATATATAAAT